GTCTTATGTGAGCCCCCCCCCCTCTCCCCTCCCCACCTCCCACCTACCGGCCTTTGTGAGTGCTTCCGTGAGTATGTCGGCATCCTGGCGGCGCCACGTAGAGATGAGAATGGATTTCTTGTCCACCCACCGCTCCGACTTGAGGAGCTGCTTGAGCTCTCGGACGCGGTGTGCGTCCCGGCGGGCCTCACTGTAGGTGAAGTCGAAAAACCGTCGATCGCCACCCTCACCCTCAGCGGCAGCAGGCCGCACGCCGTCGGCCTGCTGAGGAGCAGTTTGTCGATCGAATTCGTTTGTCATCCATGCAGGTGTGTACCTCCCCAATAAGTGCCCCACATCAACACATACCTCTGCTGCACAAACGTGACTCATCCTTGGTAGAGATCCTGTGGGTAGAACTCCTCTGCTGCAAACAGACACATGACATGAAAGAGTGACCGTATTCTTTTCGTTTCTCCAGCTGGTGCAGCATACTGGTCATTTCGATACGAATCCTGGCATCTCTGCTCTGGCCTCCGTTGCCAAATACCTCAACGACCGTACGGTTGAGCTGGTGCTCATGACTGAACGCGCATAAATGCGCAAACACAAAGCATAGACCTCAAATTTGTGACTTTGTGTGAGCCCCGTCTCACTCCGAGAAGACGATTCGGCTCTCAAACTGAGTGGAAGGAGCACCGCCAGCGCCTCGTCGAGGGCACTGGGCGTCCCTGTGGGGCACTGCCGCTGGGCCACACGCATGGCTGTGTTGATGGGGACGGCTGCGCTGCGGCTGGCTGTGTATGTGGTGGGAGCGGAGGCGCTTGAGGGACCTGCAGAGGGTGGCACCTCGTGCGTGGCGTCGAGGCTGCTCGAGAAGTCGAGGGCGAGCACGCCATCGCAGGACAGAGGGAGGCCGGATGACGAGAGGGGCTGGGTGGGGGGCAGACGGCCCTCTTTGAGCTCCGCCCAGAAGAGGAAGATGTCCTTGGTGAGGTTGTCAGGACACACGACGCCCATCGCCAGCAGGCACCTGTGGCAGTGGATAATCAGCGAGAGGCCCTTGACAGCTGATCCAGCATGCTGAAGGGGATCTCGTAGGGGTCGGGGGCTTGCGGGCGGTCTCGGCAATGCGGGCGATGTTGAAGATGTCGATGAAGTCCGCCAAGTCGACGTAGTGATCGTTCGTGGCAACCCGAGTCGAGGAGGTCGGCACCACCTCCTCGGCCACGTACAGGCGATTCTCCACCAGCCTCTTCCTCTCTCCGGCGACTTCAAGCGTCAGGTGGAGTGTGGCGGAGTTGTCCTTGTCCGTCAGTGCGTCGATGAGGCGGACAAACGGTGCCCGCCGCGCCCCTCCCTCCAACGCACCCAAGTCCTCCCGGTCGACAGCTTTGTTGAGCTTATTCAGACGCGCCTTCTCGATAACAGCCGCCACGAAGCTCTCCTGCCTTGTCCGGTCGTTGGCCTTCCTCACTGCAGCAGTGTCACCGTCGGCATCGATATCTCCAGGGCACGGCCAGGTCTTAAAGGCCACCTCCTGCCCGTCCCTGATGCCCTTGAACGCCCAAGCGAAGCTGCCCTTTCCATAAATGCGGATGGCTCTAAAGTTGTGAAATCGGGTGGGAAAAAAGTTTGCCCCCGTCTCTGTCCCCAATTCTCGAATTCTCGACGCACTCCCTTCTCCTCCCGGAAACAAACGCCGAGTCCAGAGGCTGAGGCTGTAGAGAAGTGAAGGCCAACAATTGCCCTGTGTGAAGCCGCGATGATTTCACCATCCATTTTGAGTAGCTGTGCAGCCTAAGGTGATGTTCATGATGGATGGATGGATGGATGAACATGCATCCATCGCTCAGTGGTGACTTCTCCTTGACTACATCGTGCTTGAGTCCTCAACCGTGTCCACGCGCAAACATGCATTATAAAACCACGTGTGCCGGCCGGCATGCGAGAAGGAATGAGATACTTGTGAGATACACAGCCAGATAGATAAATAGATCCATTTATGCACACAAGGAGAGCAGAACGACACACCGACCGACAGAATGATGAATAAAGACGTGCTTTACCTACCCACCCAAACCCTCCAGACGCGAGGCGAAACGACGTGGCAAAGTCAGCAAAGAGCTAAGTGAAAGGCTTCTGGTGCGATGAGCGGCTGTGCTGCTGCATGCGACCCCATCAGGAATGGTCTTCTGCTTCGATCGGCCACAACCGAGACGAAAGACCATTGCCGACCAGGTGGCAACATCACACAGTCGCACACGCGTAGACAGACCTGAAAACGACACCAATTACCAGCGAACACCATTATTCAGCCACCCAGCGCCTTTTCCTCTCTCTCTTAGACAAGAAACCGGCAATACAGACAGACCCCCAACCCATTTGGGCAAACATCATGCAGACAGGGATGCTTCTGCCCTCTCCCTCCCTCCCTCCCTCTCTCCCTCTCTCATCTACCGATCTACCGATCTACCAGAGCCCTCTGCACTACTGCCCATCTACCTTGCCGACTGGTCTAAGGCTCATTTCTTCGGGGCGCCCACGTAGCGGGGGTTCTCGTTGGGGCGCGTGTAGGTGCCTGATGGTGTGAGGAGGGGAGACCCAAACCTATGTAGCAGGGGTGAGCGTGTGGTTTGTTTGTTCCTTTGTTCCTTTGTCCTTCTGTCTGTCTGTCTGTCTGTCTCCCTGTCTGTGTGTCCAGTCAGCGTAAGTACCTCCAGTCTGGTTGCCCTGGGCGTCCTTGGTGCCGTGGTAGGTGGAGCCATTGGCGTTCTGGTAATAGTAGGAACGGTTCACACCTGCACACACACACACACGTGATGGCGACACGCTCTGTGTCTGGCCCCGCAATGTGCACTCACTGCCTACCCTGGCCATCGTAGTTGTCGTATCGGTACGAGCCGCCCTGCGCATTCCCGTCACCCCTGCTCGACACAGATGTGCACACACACGACAGAAACACGCAAGGTCAACAGCGTGTGCCGGTGCCCTGCGCTTGCCTGTCCGTCCACCGATTGCCCTGCACACACGCATGCACATGGCGAAGTCAAGATGGATGAAGAGAAGACGGATCTGGATGTGCGCGTGCCTGAGCGTTCCAGCCAGATGACTTGTACTGATCTTTGCCCGACATGCCGACGCAGAACGCAACGGGACACGAACGAATGCTCTCCCCAACCGCTTTTTCTGGTCTCCTGCTCCAAGCTCGCAATCAGACTCTTCCGGAGGCCATTGAGGCTGCGCGGGACGCACCCAACAATCCGACACATGGACGAGGGTGAGGGTGAATGAGTGCATGATATGAATGACTCAATGGATGGATGAATGAATTCGTGTGCGGATGGATATCCGGATGGTGAGCGGCTGGTACCATCGGACTTACACATCGATCGCATCTACCCATGCCTCCCACAGACGCGATTGTGAATGATCCCATTGATTGACACACAACATTGTGTGTCTGCATAGACACCGGCAATCAGACAGACAGACGCACTCCATGCATATCATCCGGGTTCGTCTCGCTCTCACAAACCGCCATCATTGCGCGCACACGTCACTCCCACCCAGCCACTTTGCCACAGACAGACAGACAGACAGACAGCCATGCAGTACGGTATGCACACACACACACACACTGCAGACGCACTCGACTCCCCCGCCCCCTTGATTGAATCTGTCTGTCTGTCTGGCGTGGGTGCTTGGCTGCAGGCCACCCACACCGACAGACAGACACAGACAATATAGACGCACGCACATGGAAACAGGGAGAGAGAGGGGCTTGGCTGGCTGTTTATCAGAGGGAGGGGCTTGGCTACTGTATGTGTGGGCAAGACAGACAGACAGACAGACGAGCAGACGAGCAGACTGACTGACGAGGTGGTCGATGGGCTGGCTGTGGTGCCACACGAGGCGATGGATGGATGGATGGATGGACGCTTCCACCGGCGGCCAAAGAAAAGAAAACAGACGGGCACTTGACACATTCACTCTCTCTCCAAAAAGAAGACAGACGCGTCACCGAACAAAGCACCCGAGCCAAGCGACAAGGAAAGGAAAACATCACACCGTGGAGTGGACCCCCCGCACCCACACACCAAGGCAGTCGATAGAGTGACAAAGGGAAAGGGAAAGATATACATATCGACCGACACACTGACTTCCCTTGACTGACTGGCCCCAACGGATCGACGACCGACGGCAAACACACTGACTGACTGCACCCGTCCCCCCATCCATCCGACAAACAGACCGACCGACAGACTGATCGATTAGCCTCATGGATTTTGTCCATCGCTGCCCCTCTCCTCAGCTCTTCAAGGAAGCGGCCAGAGGAAGGAAAAAGCAGCGTGTTTGTAATGGGCTGACTGGTTTACTAATTGCGAGGCGGTGTGGGGAGAAAACGAACAAACACCAACACGCATTGCCCCGCATGGCATTGCATTGCCCCCGCCCTGCCCTGCCCTGCCCGTCGATCCACCGCTACCCGTCAATCCCCCGCTATCTCCTGGAGAACGGCAAGGTCAGGGCAGCAGTGGACTGGCTGACTGACTGGCTGGCTGACGGGCGAGGGAATGCGCTGACTGACTGCGGTGCGTATTCCATCCCACTCAAAAGAGACCGACCGACAAACGACGACAGCCATCCACCCAACCACCCACCCACAAGAAAGGAAGAACAGGGGACATTCTCCGAAAGAAGACAGGCCGGCCATCCGTGGCGAAAAAAACGATAGGTCGACGACGACAAAATAAAACCCGCGACAGCCACCACCCCACCCCACACTTGGCATCGCATCCATCTCATCTCCCACCCATATATCCCACCGACCAGCCGAGCTATTTGTCCGTCCGTCCGTCTGTCTGTCTGTCTGCCTCGCTCATCGTGTGGCCGTCTGAAAGGAAACGTGAGCCCATCCCCCCGCCATCCCATGCATGTCTCGATCCCTTCTCGTCTCGTCTTGTCTGTCCAGACCTGGCAAGGCCACCCCGCCCGCACAACAGTCATCCATCCATCCATCCGCACCGCCACACACACTAAAGGGCATCAAAGAAAGGCGTCCACTCCACGACAGACATAAACCACAGTGTGCACTCCAGACCGACAAAGGGCATCATCAGACGACAAATCGGTCAGTCAGCCAAACGTGCATTGCTTTGCGGCACACCACACCCATGCAGCACACGACAGACAACAGACACCATAAATTGATGCAGACAGACGGTGTCATCCATCCATCCATCCCCCTGTGAGTGCCACGGCATGTGTGTGGTGCCGTTGATCCGTCCATCGTTCCTTCCCTCCC